GGCCCCATATCGAGCTCCACCTAAGGCCCCAGTGGCGGTGTTCGCATGCGTCTCTCCCCCACCCATGACAGCGTTTCGCGGCCCCACAGGGAGCTCCACCTAAGGTCCCAGTGGCGGTGTTCGCATGCGTCTCCCCCACCCAGTACAGCGTTTCGCTGCCCCACATCGAGCTCCACCTAAGGCCCTTGTGTCGGTGTTCGCATGCGTTCCCCCCACCCAGGGCAGCGTTTCGCGGCCCCACAGGGAACTCCACCTGGGTGGAGCGACCTGCGGAGCTGCGGAGCCCTGCATGGCGTATTGCAAAGCAGGCGCCTCGTGGCCCACAGAGGGAGACACCCTCACACATTTCGCGCCCCCCCCCTCCCCATACGAACCCACCGAATATTATACACGCGATCGCGGTACCTACAGCTGAATATGGTTGGGTCTTTCGCCAGGCTAATTGCACATTGCAAGAACTTCAAGGATTTAGGGCGGGCCGTTTTCAAAATGTGGCTCTCGCCTTAGCGCCCCGCACGCTCGCTTTAAACATTTGCAAGGGCTTCATGTATTGACGGCGGGTGGTTTTCAAAACGTGGCGCTCGACTTAGCGCTGCGCACATTCGTTGTACAAAGTTGCAAGAGCTTCACGGATTGAGGGTGGGTTGTTTTCAACATGTAGTTCTCGCCTTGTCACCGCGCGCATCGGTTTTACAAAACATTGCAACACTTTCACGGATTGAGGGTGGGCCGTTTTCAACATGTGGTTGTCGCCTTAGCGTCCCTGCACATGCGTATTAAACATTAGCCAAAGCTTCACGGATTGAGGGTGGGTGGTTTTCAGGACGTGCCTCTCGCGTTAGCGCCGCGCACATTCGTTTTAACCATTTGCAAGAGCTTCACGGATTGAGGGCGGGTGGTTTTCAAAACGTGGCTCTCGCCTTAGCGCTGCGCGCATTCATTTTAAACACTCGTAAGAGTTTCAAGGGTTCCCATGATAAACGTACCAGAAATATTGTTTTGGAGAGATCCAGGGTCATGCGGGTACAACAGTAATGTTGGTTCGCGGTGTTGAAGTCTCAAAAAATGGCGTGCTGGCACGATTCCAGATCGTCAACACGCAGCAGTCAGGCTAATTCGTGGCGTGGAAATCCCGAGAACACTGTTTTGGCATGCCGATGTAGGGGCCTATGAAGAGGGAGCGTGGATGGAGAGTTTATTCCAACATCGTTGATGGCTCTTGGTTTTACACTGGTCCTCCTCCTCCTCCTCCTCCTCCTCCTCCTCCTCCTCCTCCTCCTCCTCCTCAGGCCCCGAGGGACTGCTCAATGGCGGCCCGCTCGCAGACCTGGCAGTTTGGTCAGTGGTCCTCTTCCTCCTCCTCCTCCTCCTCCTCCCCCTCCCCCTCCTCCTCCCCTCGCCCTCCTCCTCCTCCTGCTTTTCCTCCTCCTCCCCCTCCTCCCTCCTCCTCCTCCTCCTTCTCCCTCCTCCTCCTCCTCCTCCTCCCTCCTCCTCCTCCTCCTCCTCCTCTCCTCCTCCTCCTCCTCCTCCTCCTCCCCCCCTCGCTCCCTCCTCATCCTCCTCCTCCTCCTCTCCTCCTCTTCTCTCCTCCTCCTCCTCCCCTCCTCCTCTTCTCCTTCTCCTCCTCCTCCCCCTCCTCCTCCTCGTCGTCTTTCTCCTCCTCCTCCTCCTCCTCCTCCTCCTCCTCCTCCTCCTCCTCCTCCTCCTCTCCCTCCTCCTTCTCCTCCTTCTCATTCTCTCCCTCTCGCGCGGCAGCGCGCCCCTCTTGAGGGCGACCTCCTGCCCCAGGCGTCACCCCAACATGCTAATACTAGCCGGCCGCTCTGCGGGTCCTCGGGAGTTTCTGCATGAAGAAGAAGGGGCGTGCTCCTGTGCTCGACGATGATGGTGAGAGTGAACGGGCGGCGGTGGTGCGGCAGGTGGAGATCAGGAGGGCGAGGATCAGGAGTGCGAGGCCCACGAGCTGGAGGTCCCTGGAGGTCATCCGTCCCCCTCCTCGTCCTCCTGCTCCTCCTCCTCCTTCCCCTGGGCGTCACTCCAGCAAACTAGTACTTTGCTTAAGCGGGGCATGCCCTTCTACAACAATATGGGGAAGATATAGTCAGGGGACGTTTTGTTGACGATTTTTTTTTGGGGGGGTATTTTTGACTAGTTCTATTTTTCTGGTTCTTGTTTTATATTTTCGGTCATTTTCTTACTATTTTTCAATTTTCCTCGAAAATCCGCCTGTAGGAGGACATTCCCGACCTGATGCTATGTGTGCGACCCCCCCCAGGGGCACCGTCTCCACCGCCAGAGTATGTCCATATCTCGAGGAAGAACAAACGTTATAAACATAAAGATTTGACGCTCCGCGCGGATCTCGTGGATCCGCGCTGGACCCCCGGCGGCGCCTCCGGCGCCGCCCCTGGCGCGCTCTGACCGTCAGGGAGGGAGGCCCAGCGCAGGTCCAAGAAATCGCGCGGATCGTCGAAAGTTTATTTTTACGCCGTTTTTTCTTCCTCTAATCCACCGCTTCGGGGTCGTGCCCTGGGATCTCAAGGAGTGGTGGATGTGGACGTCGGCCCGCCCGCAGGGGCTGGCAGGTATCCACATCCACAGCCCCCTGAGCCCTCGGGACGCGACCGTGCGGCAGTGGATACGGAAATGTGGTGATGATGGCTCGCTCGCGTTCGCCGGAAAGCTACTGTTGCCATTGCCTCTTTTTCGCCTTTTTTGTGGGCCTCGGGGAAGGCCCTCGTCACCACCGCTGGATTCGCTTCGAAGTTCTGGTCAGAACGCACCCGGGAGAGGTCTGGGGAGTAGCGGTATCGGTACCTCTTAGTTTCCCCAAGCGAGACATTGCCTTCAGTGAGCTGGTTGCCACCGAACGCCCCCATCCCGTGGCAAGCATGCCGTTGCAGACATTTGGCCGAGAAGCGTTCCAGCGGGAGCGCGACGCGCCCCCTGAATCAGAAAACTGACGCAGCTCTCCCTCCAATCATGCGGTGTCTGACGACACGATGCCCAACACGCGCGAAGGATGTCTGATACCCTCGGTCGTGTGCCCCAGGGGATCAGGTAAGATCGCACGTCCTCCAGGCCTGCGGTGATGAGAGCACGATGCCACGATGCCCAGCAAGCGCGAAGGATGAGCAGGAGAAGGAGGCCGGGATGATGATGATGATGATGATGATGATGATGATGATGATGATGATGATGATGATGATGATGATGATGACGATGATGATGATGATGATGATGATGATGAGGAGGAGGAGGATGATGATGATGATGATGAGGAGGAGGATGACGATGATGAGGAGGAGGAGGATGAGGATGATGATGAGAAATGATGATGATGATGATGACTGATGATGATGACGATGACGATGATGATAGATGATGATGAGAGGAGGGAGGATGATGATGATGATGAGAGGAGGAGGATGATTGATGATGATGAAAAGTGATGAATGATGATGATGATGATGATGATGATGATATGATGATGATGATGATGATAGATGATGATGAATGATGATGAAGATGATGATGATGAATGATGATAATGAGATGATGAGGATGATGATGATGATATGATGTATGATGATGATGATGCTGATGATGATGATATATGATGATGATGATGATGATGATGATGATGATGATGATTGATGATGATGATGATATGATGATGATGATGATGATGATGATTGAGGGGGAGGAGGAGGAGAAGGGAGGAAAGGAAGGAGGAGGAGGGGGAGGAGGGGAGGCAGGAGAGGAGGAGGAGGCAAAAGGAGGAGGAGGAGGAGGAGGAAGGAGGAAGGAGGAGAAAGAGAGGAGAGGAGGAAGGAGGAGGAGGGAGGAGGAGAGGGGGAGAGGCCGGAGAGGGGAGGAGGAGGAGGAGGGAGGAGGAGGAGGAGAAGGAGGAGGAGGTCGTTGGGTCGTGGGCCCCAGGAGATCAGGCTAGCTCGCACGTCCTCCGGGCGGGTGTACGGACCGCGCTGCACGGGGGGAGCACCGATGGCAGAGCGCTCACCTGCTCCCAGGGAGCCCGCGGCGCGTGAGGGTGGCCCTTCGCTGGAGTGGCCTCGGGAAGCGCGGCCTGCGGGAAGCGCGGGCAGGCCCTGCGCCTGCTGCACGGCGCGCGCTGCGCGGGGGGCAGCGTATCCGACTTCGCGGCGCGGGCGGCGCGGCGTATTGCGCAGCTCCCCAAGGTGCTCGACTGGGTCGGGCGCGGCGCATCCTCCGGGCGCTTGCGGCAGCGCTGGTCGCCCGAGCTTGCTCGTGGAAAATGCGCGGCCTTCGGGACGCGCTGGGGGGGGGTCCGGGCACAACACATGGCCATAACCGTGACGGACTGTACTTTCGGGGAGGGCCCTCTGGGAAGAACCGACCTCGACCTCGACATGAGCGCGTCGGCTGTGGTTCTGGTGGACCTTGCCGTCCTGGGGCGTCACAGCGACCACATCCAGTACCAAGCTGGTTTCGGTGTTTTGACGATTGTTGGCATGCACAAGACTTCCCCAGGGTGGGTCCTCGATGTGACTGTGGTCGCTTGGTGTCCCCGCTGGGTGGGGGCCCCGCCCCAGCGCGCAGGCCGCCACGTGTCGCAACGCGTGCGCCGATCGGCAAGCAGCGTACCAGAGGTCGTTCTTGCCTAGGCCACTCTTGCGCGTAACCGAGGAAACTAGGTGCATCATACCTCAAGGGTGCCTCCATCGCGACCCGCCTGCTGGCAGCTCACACGCAGACATGCTGCTTGATTGTGATCCTGGCCCTCGCTGCGCAGTGCCCCCGCGCGGGAGCAGGGGAACCCTTTTGCTGTTCTTCTACGGTCAGCGATTCGCTCTTCGTGTGCGAGCTATTGTTAGTCATGGTGCTCTTCGGTTCCATGCATAAGCTATTGTTTGTCATGGTGCCCCACGTTATTTCACTTCCATGCGTCCCGATCGTCGTCTTCATTCCTCAGCATATTCTGCTCGCGGCAGCTGCAGTGTCAAACGTGGCCTCTTCAGCGGGGGAACGCCAGCTCGAGGGGCTGGATTCCCAGAGACGTCCAACTTCGGCCAGCACTGGACTCGCAGGAAGCCGTCACTGCCTCAGGCCGCACTCCGCCGTGCGTTCTGCGAGCTCGTGGGTGGCCGCGCGAGGAGATGCGAGGCCAGTCTGCCCGTGCGTGCGGCCTCCCAGCCCGAGGGCCAGCTCGGCACGGACTGGTAGCAGGGGTGCACCAACTGCGAAGGTATACGTTCCCCAGGAGTCGGACTGAGCGGTGTTTTGTCGATTTCGTGGGCTGTTTTCGTCTCGATTTCGTTTGGCAGCTAGGGCGGATTGGAGACCAGACGAGTGAAAACTAAGACACAACGAAAACGAAAAACACTGTTTGGGTCGATCCCCGACCGTAATTACCCCTATGGAGGAGATCCATCTGAAAGCGTGGCCGACGCGGCCTCCCGCAGCCAGGCGTTTGGAGGCGGCAGGTCACGACGAGAATTGCGGCGACGACGGGCAACACGCCATTGGCACTGGCTCCACCTCCAGAGTACTGTAGGTTCGCGTCGTGTCGACCGGCGGCGACCCCGCCGCCGGCGTTCAACGTTGAGCGCCGCTGGCGACCCAGAGTCGGGCGATATGTTGAACGATCTGACGTTTCGGATACGGCCGATCGTTCAAGGCTGAACGATCCCGATCGTTCAAGGCTGAACGATCTCAAAGGTGTCAGGAACCAGCGCCGGGGTCGTCACGACACGAACCTGCCCATATCGGCGACGAGCTACGGGGGGAAGTGAGAGGGAGAATGCCTTCTCAGAAGGCTCGGAAGTCCCCAGGCGTCCTGAGAAGTTTCCTAAGCCTTCCCCGAAGACAACAACAACTTTTCAGAAGGCACGAGGGCCTTGTGAGAAGTCCCACCGCCTTCGCAGAAGACCTTATCCTTCTCACTACCCCCCTCGCTCGCCGCCGACCTTACTTAAGTCGGGCATATCCCACTACATGAGGAATTTTCAGAAACAGTAAGAAATAGTCTGGGGACGATTGTTGGACTATTTTCAAACCGTTTTTGGATTTTTGTCGAACTATTTTTTATGTTTCCTCCAACTTCTGCCTGTAGGGGGACATGCCCGACCTAAGACCATGTCCACCGCTTCGGAGTCGTGCCCCTGGGATCATCTCCAGGAGAAGGGGGGCGTGGACGTCGGCCCGCCCTGCAGGGGCCGCCCGCTGTCCACAGCCACCGCCCTCCTGAGCCCTCGGGGCGCGACCCTGCGGCAGTGGTTATGCGCATCCTCGGCGCCGCCCACAGATACTAATACTATGTCGTTGGTGACCGTTTTCTGATTCAGTGGTTTGCCGATCGGCGCGGGCCCTCGTACTCCCCCTTCCCCCCCCCCCTCCTCATGGAGTAGGTCTTGGCTGTTTTTGGCGCCTGCTCCTCCGGTGGGGCCCCCTCCCCTAGGACGCGCTGTGGCCAACGGCCGTGTGGAGCAGAGGTCCGGAGCCAGACTCCCCCCCCCCCTCCCCCCCGTCCGCCCCAACGCCGCAGCGCCGAACAAGAAAACGCTCACTGTGTGTGCCTTGCCCCCCCCCCAGGGGCGACGCGCACGCCGAGAACCGGCGCGGCATGTGCTCCGTGGCGGGCGGCGCTCTCCGGCCACACCGCTCGGGGAGTGGTGGACTGCAAGGTGCTCGTGCCAGCTGTTCGGGTCGGACGTGCGCCTCCAGCAGAGGCACACCGCACCGGCATCTCTCTCTGCGTCCCGTATGCTGGCGGCGAGCCTTCAGACCGTCCACCACCAGCCCTTGACCTGAGCGGCCCCAAGAGAGAGAGCGGTCGTCTTCGTCGACGTTCGCGCGTAAGCTGCCCGCGTAAGCTCGCGCGTAGGCGCCCTCGTCTCCAGTGTAGCGTGCCGCGCTGGTGGCTCGCGTCAGCCACCACGTAAAATCGCTATGCCATCTCGCGCTGGACCCATTCTTCTGTCGCCCAGTTTGATATTTATCCGACGTCATGATTCTTGGGCTTCCTCGAGGGGCCGGTGGCTCGAAATGCGGGCGCGGTTCCCCTTCGGGGCCCTTCTTGCGGCCGTCCAGGGGCTCTTTTGAGCCATGTTGGAGGCCTTTGAGGCCGTCTTTTGGGGCAGCGTGGGGGCCGAATTTGCATGTTTAGGGGCCGGAGGCCTCTGGGGCCGTCGGGGGGGATCGTCGTGGAGCGTCGGGGAACCAAAAACTTGAGGCGTTCTCGCCTTTAAGGCGAAAGCGCTAAAATCTTTCAAACACGGATTGAACATCAATGAATATCTTGGGGCCCTCTTGGGAGGGCTCTCGTAGGCCTCTTGTGGCGCTTTGGGGGCGTCTTGGGCCGTCTGGAGGCCATCTTGGCCGTCCTGGAGGATCTTTCGGCGCCTGGGGACCCTCTTGGACCGTCTTGGGGGCCTCCTGGGGCCCTCTGGGCTCGGTGTGGGGCCCTGTATCATTCCACGATGCGTTGGGGCCTGGGCCTGGGAGATCCGGGCGGACCCCTCCCTCCAAATTGACCGGGCAGGGGTCCGGGGGGAGGGGTCGGGGAAGGGGTGAGCATCTCGGAGGTAACGATAGGGGGGGATAGGCATATGGGGGGGAATGCATCGACCCCCTATCGCCCACTGATCGCCGATAGGGGCCCGATAGCCCCAACTTGCCCAGGACTGTGCGGATTCACTATCGGAGGCCTATCGCCGATCTATCGGTGATGTATCGCCGATTCCAGGTCCATGCATCTCCCCTATGCCAGTCCCCCCCCGTCGTTGCCCTTCAGCATCTCGCCCGTTGATGACACCCAAAGGGGTCACGGGATTTTGCGTTGGGGCCCTCTTGGACAATCTACCGCGTGCTCGCCAACGATTCCTCCTCCTCCTCCTCCTCCTCCTCCTCCTCCGACTCGTCGTCAAAATCGATCTTCCGACTTATTCGGACATGTGCAGCCCGATCTCTTGCCATTGCTCCCCCTGCTCCTCGTCCTCCGACCCTCCTAATTCTTCTGGTTCCCCGTCTCCTCTTTATCCTCCGTCGTCGTCGTCGTTGTCGTCGTCATCAGCATCAGCATCAGCATCATCAGCATCATCAGCATCATCAGCGTCGTCATCGTCCTTAGCACCATCACCATCATCATCAGCATCATCATCACTATTATCAACATCATCATCGCCATCATCATCACCAACATCATCATCATCATCACCGTCACCATCACCACAATCATCATTATCATTGTCATCCGCGTCGGCGGATCCAGTGTGCAGTGCACCTGGTGCTGACATCTTTTGGAAGTTGTGATCGTCAGCGCCATCATCATCACCATCATCATCATCATCATCTTCATCTTCATCTTCATCTTCATCTTCATCTTCATGCATCATCATACATCATCATCATCATCATCATCATCATCATCATCATCATGTGGATGATGCCGAAAGAGAGATTCGCAACAAGGTCCTCGTGCTCAAAGGTTTCCCATTCCCCATGTGGTCCAAGGCGCTGGTCAAACATGCGGAGATGGTCTTCCAGTCGCTCTCCCCCAACACTCCACTCCCCCAGATCCGCGCGGCCAGCAACACCACCCACGCTCGCCTCATCTTCAACGACTCCGCTGCGGCGAAGGCCATCCTCGAGGAGTCCATCCGAGCTGGCCCACGGATTACTCTGGGCTCGGAGTCTGTGCCGCTTTCCCTTCAATGGGACCGGTCACCCGACAAGCGTGTCTGGGGATGGATGATCTCACAGTTATGGAAGAAGCTGGAGCAGCACATGGCGTCCAAAGGCATCCAAGGCCAAGTCGGGTGTCGCCGCGGCAAGGGTGAGGTATTCATCGACATTGGCGGCATGGGGCAGCTGATCACGATCTACACGGTTCTGGATGGCCTCCCTGGAGGGGCAGCGGATCAAGCGGATGCGCGCTTGAAAGAAAAACGTTCTATACTTGCCACCAAGCACATTTCGGAAGGCGCATCGCTTTGCATGTCAAGGATCATGCGCTCACCTCGTCAGCCTCCGTGCAGATTCTCAGCATGGCGAGTCTTTGGCGCCCGGCGCCTCACACACTGACGGGCTGGGCAGCAGGATTTCGCTCCTGGTCAGAGCAGGCGGTGAGAGATCTCCCGCTTGTGGCATGGATCCAGCAGAGGGGGAACGCACCCACCGGGAAGATTTCGCAAGGAGTTTTACTACGGTTTCAATCGCTTCAGGAGCATTCGCACGATTCAAGCGTCGAAGCCACGCAATGGATGAATGCCGCTTCTTCGGCCCGCAATGAGATAACGGGGACGGTTGGGGAACGATGGGGGGAGTGTTTCGCTGGCCTCCGGACGCAGCGTCCGTCTTGGCAATGGGCAGTGCTCAAAGCCCTCCGCAGGAGGGTGGACGATCACACATCGTATGTACGTCTCTGGCGCAGCTTCCTGCATGTTAGGACCCCCGGTGTGCCCGACGCGATAGCCATTTATTTCCCCTGTCCCGAACCTCGTCGCCTCCTTGGCTTTTCCGCCTCTCCCATTCACATGCTGGGCCTCTTGGCCCCAAACGAATACGATTCCGCCGATTGCGCGATGAGCCGAGCTGGAGCACTGACGCTCTGTGTCTTGGCGCTCCGTGTGTACCACAAGGCCAAGGCAGTGCATGATCCTGGCCTGCTTGTGCACGACGTGCAGCTTGATGGTGTCCATGCAGCAGCCGGTCACTCCTCTTTCAGGTAGGCTGCTCCTGGACGGACCACATTATAGATGCGGTCGGTAATCATCATCATCAGCAGCATCATCATCATCCATACCAGCATTTGCATCATCACCATCATCATCAGCATCATCAGCACCACTATCGTCACCTACATCATCATCACCACCAACAGCATCATGATGATCATTATCGTAATCTTCATCCGAGGCAACTGTCAATCGTCTTCATCGTCGTCATCATCGTCATCACCACCACCATCATCATTAGCACCATCACCATCACCGATCGCACCATCATCCTACTCATCAGCATCACCATCATCGACACCACCATCGTCACCAGCATCTCCAGTGCTGTCATTATCATCGCCACCCATCATCTTCATCATCGTCATCATCATCATCATCAGCGTCACCATCATCATCATTTCTGCCCATCATGATCACCCACCACCACCATCATCATTGTCATCCGCATCGGCGGATCCCGTGTGAAGTGCACTTGGTGCTAGCATTACTGGAAGGCGCGACCGTCAGCACCATCATCATCATCAACATAACTTTCACGAGCATCATTATCATCAGTATCGTCATCATCATCCGCAGCATCGTTACCACTACAGTCACCAACAGCTTCAGCATCATCAACATAACCGTCATCATCATCAACATACCCATTACCGTCACCGCCGCCATCATCGTCGTCACCGTCATCATCATAAGCACCATCACCATCATCATCATCATCTTCACCGCCGTCACCATCAGCACCATCATCATCACCGCCATCATCATCATCATCATCATCCCCATGAGCAGCATGATCGCCACCTGTTCCCGGCCCGTCGCTAACATAATCATCCGACCTCATCATCAGCACTATCATCATCATCACCACCATCATCATCAGCATCATCATCGTGTTCATCATCATCATGATCATCATCCGCATCATCATCACCAGTATCGTCAATAAAAATCATCATCATCTTCATCACCATCATCGTCATTACCAGCATCTACATACCCATTACCATCACCTCCGCCATCATCGTCGTCGTCATCATCCTCATCAGCATCACCATCACTATCACCGTTATCATCATCATCACCACCGTCAACATCACCGCCATCATCATCATCATCATCATCATCATCATCATCATCATCACCATCATCATCACCATCATCGTCATCATCCTCCTGATCGCCACCTGTACCTGGCGCGTCGCTAGCGGAGTCATCCGACCTCCTCATCACCACCATCGTCATCATCTACCACCTTTTTCCGCCCCCCGGCGTCGTGGCCGTCGTTGTGCCGAGGCTCTGGGTTGCAGCGGCAGCGGACGCTTCGCCGAGGGACTTCGGCGGCCCCCCCCGCCGCGGACCCGCTGTCGGAGGTGAGCTTAGCTGCCCCGGCTTGGCATCTGGCAAGGCGGGCCCTGGGATCGCGACCTGGCACGACCGGCCCGGGCGGATCCCGGATCCATCTCGAGGCTCGAACTCCACCAGGGTTGCAAGTGGAAGTGCCAGATGGGGGCCGCCCCAGGCTCCAACAAGTGGCACTCGAACTGTATTGCGTCTGCGAACATTGCTCGAATCTGGGCCCCCCGTTTCGAGCCCAAAGACCCTCACGGATCGATCCAGCTCGAAAGCCCAAGCAGTGGTTCGAGGTCCAGTCAGGAGTTCGTGGCGAAGTTTTGTTCAAGACGTCGGATCTCTAGGAATGCCGAGGCATTTGGGTGTCAGGGCCTTGTCTCTTCTGTTCAGCATCGTCGATTTTCTGTTGCAGCTTGGGTGCCATTCGAGTCACGCGTGTCTCGCGAGCTCCTGCCCAGCGTTCCCATGGGGGGACGCTCGAATCAAGATCTAAACCTTGATGTAAAGAACCAGTTGCGCTGTGCGCGTATATGATTGGACCGATCCGCTGCAAGGACGGGGAGGAGGGGAGGAGAAGGGGAGGATGAGGATGAGGATGAGGATGAGGATGAGGAGGAGGAGGAGGAGGAGGAGGAGGAGGAGGAGGAGGAGGAGGAGGAGGAGGAGCGGAGGAGGGGAAAGAGGAGGAGGGCAGTTGAATGCCTCTCGGGATCCTGACACCCAGAGGTCCCTGCTGAGGTCCCCGATGGCTTCCACAGGCTTCCGGAGGGCGAACAACGACAGACATTTTTTCCAACACAGACAGGAACCGTCAAACCGTCCGCCCCCCCTCTCCGATCCTCACCCTCGCGGGTTGAGGAGAAAGTATTTACTTGCCAATCTTGCCTGCGCATCCTCGGTCGTTACTTTGGCTCTACAAGGCATTTCCGGCCGATACTGACAACGCCGCATCGGCCTGCTTTCATCGTTTGCTATGGATGCCTCACCTCGATCGGACCAAAGACCCAATTACTCGGCGCGGGGATTCCCATGCCTGCATCTGTCTTCTACCGCTTCCACTGGTGTGTGTTGGAATGCTGGCGGGGCCGAGTGTGACAGTGAGTGGATGCAAGCGGGTCTGCGTGCGAGTGTTTGCGTATCTGGGTGTGACCAGGTTTGAGTACGAGTGAGCTCTGCGCGCTGCGTGCAGGGGGCGGTCTGGCCGCCCTACGCAGACAATGGAAAGGCTTCTCGCCCTCTCGTAGGACTGCGGCAGCGGCCGTGCTGCGCTTCGGCAGCCGCTGGGAGGCGCAATGTTGTCATGCCTGCTATATCCTAGGCCTTCCAGATGGGGTCGGGGTAGATGGGGTCGGAGGATCGCGCCGCATTGCCGGTGCATCGGCGATGCGGCTCGATGTGGGGCCCAATCTTCCCCACGCCGACATCGCCGATGCATCGCCGATGCAACGCTGATGCGGCGCGATCCTCCTAGGGGGCCTCTATAGTACACCAGAGAAAACTCCATTCAGTGGATGGTTTTCGCTGGGGAGATCGACCAGGAACCCTGGAGCCCGGGAACCCAGAACTCACCGAAATCGGCCCGGAACCAATAACCGGGAACCCGGGGACCCGGAACTGGGAACCCGGGAACCCAGCCTGCTAGCAAAATCGGCGGGAAACGTTCACCAAATTTTTCCAGCTTCCGCTAGGACCCCTTCAGTGCAAGCATGATTGGGGAATCTCACGGTGGTCATTGGGCTTTGGTTCGGATGCAATTCCTGGGAGGTCAAATTCTGATTTTGCCCTGGTCCGAAATCCAGCTTAATCCGGCTTAAATGCCGCTCAATCCCGCTTAATCCCGCTCAATCCGGCTTCATCCCGCTGAATCCGAGGCCCACTCCGGCGTAACAGCTCCCAAATGGGGCGTCCTCCTCCCTGATGTTTCCGGCGAGAACCTCCCAGTAGTTGCCCCCTAACCTTCAGTGCAAGCACTGATTGGGGAATCTCACAGGGGTTCACCACCCACCAAACCACCCCATCCCAACCCGAAGGCCTCAAATTGACCTCCATTTCTAGTGGGGAGGGGTCGGGAAACATAGAAAAAACACGCGTGGAACCCGTACCCCCCCCAACCCGAAATTCGGGTCTTCGGGTTGGGTTGGGGTGGTCTGGTAGGTAGTCAGGGGTCATGGGGCTCTGGGGAGAGGCTCGTCCGCTTCGCCAGGGCGGTCGTGTCGCGCGGGCGAGGCTCCGAGAGAGCCCGGGGCGCGAGCGGGCCCGCGGAGCGCGCGTCGTCGGCACCCCCTTTGGGAGGCCCACGTGCCATGCCAGCTGCATGTAAGTCGGGCGTGTCCCTCCACAGGAGGAATATTCAAACATGCTTAAGAAATAGTCTGGGGACGTTTCAACAATCTGCTGTATGTGTATATCTATATATATATATATAATCATTTTTGAGTGTTTATGATCTAGTTGAAACATTTTTTCCTCCAAAATCTGCCCGTAGGGGGACATGCCCGACCTAATGCTACATCGAGATGGTCATGGGTCTCTGGGAAGGGAGATTCCTCTCGTTTCGCGGGTTGCACGTCCAGAGAACGTGAAGATTTGGCGTTGGGCGGTTTGCCCTGCTCGTCTGCCGCGCAGTTCTGCCGAGTCGTTCCGCCCGCCCGCGGGCGCTGCCAGTTTCAGCGACGGGACGAGCGTGCGAGTGTCCACGAGGGCAATAGGCATTCACCGCGTGTCGTTATAAGGCAACGCCAAGCGCAAATTCCGATGAGCGTAGCAACAACGCACCATTCGTATGCAATTCTCCGGGTGTCTTGGTGTTTTCGTGGGGCCGTTTGGAAGTTCCTTGTGGGCCTCGCGGAGGCTTCTTGGGGACTTCTTGGGGCCTCTTTGGGGCTTGGGTGCCTATTGGTGGCCTTGTGAGCCGTCTTGGGGCGCTCTTGCGCCGTATGGCCCCTTCGGGGGCCGTCTTGGGGGCATCTCGGGGCTGCCTTGGGGCTCTCTTGGGATCCTCTTGGGCAATTTTTGGGGCCCCTTGAGCCGTTTTGGTGGCCTCTTTGGGACATCTTAGGGCCCTCTTAGGCCGTCTTGGGGCCCTCTTGGGGGCCTTTGTGGCCATCTTGGAGGCTGCTTGGGCCGTCATGGGCCCCTGAGAGTCGAAAAAGGTGAGAACG